TGACACACTGGAGCAGAAGAGGAAGATGCTTTGGGAAGTAAAGTGTTCTCACCAAGTAGAAGACTCTAGGTTCCCTGCTTGCAAGGTTTTAAATGGCATGCTTTTTATCTTTGTGAATTTCAATTAGACTACGAAATGGGCAAGTCAGGAAAGGAATATTAATGATGGAGGAGGAGGAGGCTGCATGCTGCTCCTTTCTTCACAGAGCCAGCTAAATAAGAGCGGGTGCTTGTTTAGGTTATTACACTACATGCTCATTGGCAGAATGGTGGCTAATATGTTAAAATGAACAGCCTGAAATATTTCCATTTTAAGGTTTTCCTCTTCCCCCATAATCCTCAAAGCAAAGATCATATTTACTGTAGATTAGTGCTGCCTATTAGGAAAACTGCAACATCTGGGGGGGGGGACCGAAAATTGAAGTATTTGCCACACATTGACTCTGAGTGAAAAAGAACTAAATGTAAAATACTAAACTCCCACCCTTTTATAGCGTCTCAGGTTAACAACTTTTGGAAAAAGATAAATACCAGCTCTGATTTATCTGAGTAGAATGTAGGTAATGTTCAGTCTAGTGTGCAGTACAGGAAGAGGGGAAAAATGAGAGAGCCCTTTTCTTCTTTTTCCTTTTCTGTTCAAGTTGCACGGCTGGATTTTATCACACCAGATAAAACGGTAGAAAAATCAGACACATCAAACCCAGAATACTCAAAGTGTATGATGGGATTGGAATTACAAGTCTCTGCCAAGAAAAAGCCCTAAAGGGGGAAAACCTCAAACTGCTCCATCTCGCTGCTGTCTGCTGAAGGTGCTGGAAAGGCGGTGGCAGCGGGTCCCTTTGCTCCAGGCTAATGCAAACTTTTTATAGCTCTTAGATTGAATCTTGATCACCAGGTAAAGAGAATGCCTGGCAAACAGATTAGGGAAAAGCCATTGCTGAAAGTAGGCAGGAGGTTTCCTAAAGTGTAAGGTCGGTCCAGGGCCTTTACTGACCAGCTCTGGGCAAGCCTCCAACCCTCCTAGCTTGAGGGGAAATTGGTCCTGATTGCAGGAGTGCGGAGGAATGAGTGGTACATCCAGAAGGCTAAGGAAATCAAAGAAACTTCCTGCTGTGTAATTCCACATAACGTGCGTTTAACTTGGTCCTGCGTGGATGCGTTGATGACTAAGTAAAGGCGTGATTAGCCCCTTCGCCCTCCAGTGGGAGCCATACATCGTTACCTCTTCCAGGCAGCCACATCGCTCCACCGGGGATGATGTCGGGGGACCAGCGGCAGGGAACGGTCAG